CTTCCTCAATTGAAGAATCGCGCTCTCGCTTGGGACTTCCTGGCAAAATACAACCGAATCGTGGCTCCCGCTTGACATTTCTTGACAATGTATTGCAGAATCGCGTTCTCGCTTGGGACTTCCTCGCAACTTACCACCGAACCGCTTCGCTTAATATTTCCTCACGATTTATTCAGATGCCCGCCCTCGACACTCAGGAATCGCGCTCCCTCTACATATTGCCTGGCGGTTCAAGCAGGACTCACGCTTGAACGACCCGCCCGCTCGACCCGCACGTCGGGGCCTGCCCGCCCGACCAGCCCGTTAATGACTGCAGTCGCCGCTCGCTGCCCTTCGCCCGCCTTCGATGCCCCTCGCTGCCCGTACTGCTTCCGCGGTCGCCTTCGCTCGCTGCCCTTCGTGGCCCCGTTGCTGGCCTCAGTGGCTCAGTCGCTGCCCGTATTGGCCCCGCATTATATGCCCTTCGTGGCCCCCGCTCGCACGCGCCCGTCGTGGCCCCATACGCATGCCCTTCGTAGCCCGGCTGTCGCCCTTCGTGGCCCCCTCGCTGCTCTTCGTGACCCCTTTGCTGCCCTCAGTGTCCCGTATACGAATGCCCTTCGTGGCCCCCGCTCGCTCGCGCCCGTCGTGGCCCATATGCATGCCTTTCGTGGCCGCGCTGTCGCCCTTTGTGGCCCCCTCGCTGCCCTTCGTGGCCCCTTTGCTGCCCTCAGCGGCCCCGTCGCTGCCCTCTGCGGCCTCGGATTTTATGCCCTTCGTGGCCCACGCTGGCTTGTCTCACGATTTACGGAGGAATCGCGCAATCGCTCGAGACTTCCTCGCGATTCACGCAGGACCCACGCTTCAGCAACCCGCCTGCTCGACCTCGTCGCCTGGGCCCGCTTTCCCGACCTGCCCGCTATGGGTCTGCCAACCCGATCCTGGTTCTGCCACTTGTTTTCTGTTCCTTGCGCTCCTCCTGCTAATTTCTCACGTGCTCCATTATTATCCCTCCCCCTTCCACCCGTCCTCTTTTCCCTTGTTTTAGGGGCTGCACTGAATACACGTGGCAGGTAAGGAAGATATACCCGCAAAGGGGTACGATCGAAGATCACGAGGGCGGGTACCGAGGGTTTGGGATATACGTGTTGATAAGCACGTGAGCAGATAGGGGCGAACAGTCTTAAACTGATTGTTGTTGTTGTTGTTGTTGTTGTTGTTGTTGTTGTTGTTGGTGGTGTTGGTGTTGTTGTTGTTGTTGTTGTTGTTGTTGTTGTTGTTGTTGTTATTGTTGAACTCTCACTTCTGAATATTGATTATTGTTGATCCCCCCTCCGGTAACCATTGTGTTTTTCGATTGAAAGACGCTGGGTTCAGACTGCTTTGTTGGCCCCCGGATTACAACAACAACAACAACAACAAGGACTCCCGCTTGAAACGTCCTCACAATTTAGCCAGGACCCCTGTTCCCGCCTGCGACTTCCTCGCATTTTACTCAGGAGTCGCGTTGTCCCTCTGGACTTCCTTACAATCTATTGATGAATCGCTCTCTCGGCGCTCTGGGGTCGCGCTCTCGTTGGAGACCCGGTTGCAATTTATTCCAGAATCGCGCTCTTTCATTTTGACTCACCGCAATGTACTCAAGCGCCGCGCTCCCGACACTCAGGCACCCAGAGTCGCGCTCACGCTTGGGACTCCCTCACAGCATACTCCGGAATCGGGATATCGCTGCCCTTCGTGGCCCCGTTGCAACCTTTCGTGGCCCTTTCTATGCCCTTCGTGGACCCGTTGCAGCCCTTCGTGGCCCCCTCGTTGCCCTTCGCCCCGTTGCAGCCCTTCCTGGCCCCCTCGCTGCCCTTCGTGGCCCCGTTGCAGCCCTGCGTGGCCCCCTCGCTGCCCTTCGTGGCCCCGTTGCAGCCCTTCCTGGCCCCCTTGCTGCCCTTCGTGGCCCCGTTGCAGCAGCCCTTCGTGGCCCCCTCGCTGCCCTTCGTGGCCCCGTTGCAGCCCTTCGTGGCTCCATCGCTGCCCTTCGTGGCCCCGTTGCAGCCTTTCGTGGCCCCCTCTCCGGCCGTCGTGGCCCCGTTGCAGCCCTCCGTGGCCCCCCCCCCGCTGCCCTCCGTGGCCCCATCTATGTATGGACTTCGTGGCCCCCGCTCGTTCGCGCCCGGCGTGGCCCCATATGCATGCGCTTCGTGGCTCCGCTGTCGCCCTTCGTGGCCCCCTCGCTGCCCTACGTGGCCCCGTTGCTACCCTTTGTGGCCCCGTCCTTGCCTTCTGTGGCCCAATATACGTATGCCTTTCGTGGCCCCCGCTCGTTCGCACCCGTCGTGGCCCCATGTGCATGCCCATCGTGGCCCCTCTGTCGCCCTTTGTGGCCCCTCTCCTGCCCTACGTGGCCCCGTTGCTACCCTCAGCGGCCCCGTCGTTGCCCTGTGGCCCCGCATTATCTGACCTTCGTGGCCCCCGCTCGTTCGCGCCCTTCGTGGCCCCTTACGCTTGCCCTTCGTGGCCCCGCTGTCGCTCTTCGTGGCCCCTATCCTGCCCTTCGTGGCCCCGCTGTCGATCTCGCTCTCGCTTTTGCTTTCGCTCGTCGTCGCCGTCATCGTCATCGTCGTCGTCGTTGTGGTCGGTCCCCTGTCCGTCCCTCTTGGGGTCGGGTTGCCGCCGATCAGCGCTGCCGCTGGCTTGGCCAACGGTCCAAGGCCGCCCCGCCGCTTGCCGGGGCCTGGCCTACAGGGAAGAAAAATATATACCCCCCAAAGGGGGCACGATCGAAGACGAAGAGGGCGGATATCGAGGGTGCAGGAAATACAAGTTCAATGACATTCGAGCAGATAAGAGCAACCAGTCTTAAAATGATTGTTGTTGTTGTCTTGAATCTGGAAGAATAATCACTGTTGATCCCCCTCTGGTGACCATTGTGTTTTTTCAATTGAAGCGCTTCCCCCGCGGCTCGCACCCCTTTTTGTCATGGAAAGCCACTCGGCTCAAACTGCGCCCCTGGCCCCCGGATTGCAACAACAACTGCTCCCGCTTGAAATTTCTTCACAATTTAGTCAGGACCTCCGCTCCCGCCTGAGACTTACTCGCATTGTACTCAGGAATCGCGCTCTCGCTTGGGGTTTCCTTACACTTCAGTCCGGAATCGCTCTCTCTGCGCTCTGGAGTCGGGCTCTCGTTGAAGATTTGCTTGCAAGTACTCTAAGGTCGCGCTCTTGCATTGGAACTCACCGCTATTTACCCAAGCGCCGCGCTCGACTCCATCACAGCTTACTTAGACATCGGGATATCGCTGCCCTTCGTGGCCCCGTTGCAGCCCTTCGTGGCCCCCTCGCTGCCCTTCGTGGCCCCGTTGCAGCCTTTCGTGCCTCCCTCGCTGCCCTTCGTGGCCCCGTTGCAGCCCTTCGTGGCCCCCTCGCTGCCATTTCGTGGTCCCGTTGCAGCCCTTCGTGGCCCCCTCGCTGCCCTTCGTGGCCCCGTTGCAGCCTTGGCCCCCTTGCTGCCCTTCGTGGCCCCGTTGCAGCAGCCTTTCGTGGCGCCTTCGCTGCCCTTAGTGGCCCTGTTGCAGCCCCCCGGTGGCCCCCTCGCTGCCCTTCGTGGCCCCGTTACAGCCCTTCGTGGCTCCATCGCTGCCCTTCGTGGCTCCGTTGCAGCCCTTCGTGGCCCCGTTGCAGCCTTTCGTGGCCCCATCGCTGCCCTTCGTGGCCCCGTTGCAGCTCGTCGTGGTCCTCTCGCTGCCCTTAGTAGTCCCGTTGCAGCCCCTCGGTGGCCTCCTCGCTGCCCTTCGTGGTCCCACATACGTATGCAATTCGTGGCCCCCGTTCGTTCGCGCCCTGCGTGGCCCCATGTGCATGCGCTTCGTGGCTCCGCTGTCGCCCTTCGTGGCCCCCTCGCTGCCCTTCGTGGCCCGATTGCAGGCCTTCGTGGCCCCGTTGCCCCGTTGCAGCTCTTCGCTGCCCCCTCGCTGCCCTTCGTGGCCCCCTCGCAGCCTTTCGTTGCCCCCTCGCGGCCCTTCGTGGCCCCTGTGCAGCCCTTCGTGGCCCCGTTGCTGCCCTTCGTGGCCCCGTTGCAGCCCTTCGTGGCCCCCTCGCTGCCCTTCGTGGCCCCGTTGCATGCGCTTCCTTGCCCCCTCGTTGCCATTCGTGGCCCCGTTGCAGCTCTTCATGCTCCCCTGGCTACCCTTCTTGGCCCCGTTCCTTCGGTGCCCCCTCGCTGCCCTTCGTAGGCCCTATGCAGATCGCGCTATCGCCCGAGACGTCCTCGCGATCCATGCAGGCTGCACGCTTCAGCAACCCGGTTGCTCGACCTGGCCGCCTGGGCCCGCCTTCCCGACCCGCCTGTTAGGGCCTATCCGCCCGATCTGCCCGTCTGGTTGTGCCACTCGTTTTCTGCTCCTAACCCCCCTTCTGCTACTCTCTCTCTCGTGCTCCATTCTCCTCCTCTTTGTCCCTTCCTTGCATCCGTCCTATTTTCCCCTGCCTCAGGGGCTGCACGAAGTACACGTTGCCGGTAAGAAAGATCTACCCGAAATGGGGGTACGATCGAAGGCGAAGAGGGCGGGTATCGAGTGTTTGGGATATACGTGTTGAATAACACGCGAGCAAGTAAGAGCGATCAATTTGAAACTTATATTGTTGTTGTAAACCAGGGGCCAGGGGCACAGTTCGGTGACACCTCTTTTTTCTTTGTAGAATCAGGATGCGAGCCCCGGGATCAGCATTGTACTACATTGAAAAATTCAATGGTTAAGGGGCAGGGGGAGGGTCAACAGCAACTTAGAAGTGAGAATTCAACAAATCGCACCGCATAACCTCACTTCAGCTATTCGCCGAGAGACACTTAATGACGGTTCGACCCCCTCACTCTGACTTTCCATTGCTTCCCTTCCTCGTCCTCCTGGGCTTCGCTTCTCCGTCGAGGAGAACCCTTGCGTCCCAGCGGTGTCTTGGGTGGACAGCCTCCTCCCTTCTCTGCGCCTTCTCTTTTTGCCCCCCCTCCCTGGCCCCGATGGTTGTGGGGAGGACAAGCACAGCGTCCCAGCGGTATCTTGGGAGGAGAGTTTCAAATACGCGCTGGACTTCCGCTTGGTGACCCATTCCTGGAACGTGTGGTGCAGGCTACTTGTGACGTGTGCCTTTTTGTTCCTTCTCCTACTCCGCCTCCCTCCGCCTCCTCTTCACAGCTGCCGAGTGCTCAGTGTGTCGACCGTGCCACCGGACGTCGCGGCCTGCTCCTGCTTGCAAGTCCGTGATCCGTGCTTGACTCCACCATGGCCGCTGATTGATTCACTCTGGCGTTGATCTCTTCCCTAACAGCTTGTCCGTAACGTCATATAAATATGTAATGATATGCCTAATAGAAGTAACACTAGTATTGTTTTTACTGCTAGTATTCGTATTATTCGCTGTATTGTCATTATGATGAATGAGAACAACAATAGTGCTAACAGTATTATTAACAATATTACTAACAACCATAGTAGTACCAATCCGAATAATATAAGTAATACATATCTATGGGTGCAGTCCATCCAAGATCCCCCCCACACACAGCGTTCTGATTCTAAACGCTTCGCGTATCCCCACCAGCCCGGCCAGAAATGAGTCCCAAGGGAGTGGAGGTGATGAGGGAAGCGGGGGAGCATGCAGAAGAACAAAGGGCGGGGTAAGCCGCCACATACCTCAAGAGGGGGAGGATGTAGGAGGAGTCGTCGTGGTCGGAGTAGGAGGAGGAAGAGGAGGAGCAGGAGGAGGAGCAGGAGGAGGGGGAGGAGGAGGAGGAGGAGGAGGAGGAGGAGGAGGAGGAGGAGGAGGAAGGAGAAGATGAGGAAGAGGAGGAGGAGGAGGAGGAGGAGGAGGACGAGAGGAGAGAAGGAGGAGGAGGAGAGGGAGGGGGAGGAGGGAGGAGGAGGAGGAAGAGGAGGAGGAGGAGGAGGAGGAGGAGAAGGAGGAGGAGGAGGAGGAGGAGGAGGAGGAGGAGGAGGACGACGATGGCGAGCTTGGGGGCCTCTTGGGCCGTCTTTGGGGCCTCTTGGCGGTCCCGGGGGCCTCTTGCGTATCTCGGGGAGCCTCTTGGGGCCTCTTGGGGGTCTCTTGGGAATCTGTTGGAGGCCTCTTGGGCGCCTTTTGGGGCCCCTTGGGGCCCTCTTGGGGCGCTCTTGGGGCGCTCTTGGGAGCCTTCGGGGCGCTCTTGGGGCCATGTTGGAGGAGATCTATCAAAGAAGGGGTGGGTGGGAATTAGCGTTGCCCCTCTAGTGTGCCTCGAATCGCTTCTCGGGCCCCAAAAGAGGCCAAAATCCTTCCAAAACCTAGGGAAATCAATGTTTTTGTGCTTTCTCGCCTTTTCGCTCTTGGAGCCGTCTTGGGCCATCTTGGACGCTCCAACGACCCGCGGAACCCTCCGTCCAGGTCCAGGGGAGGGGGTAGCGGGAGGGGTAAACCCCTCCCCGAAGGGGAAGAAGGAGGTTGGCAGAGGAAATTCTCTAGACCACCGACGCCCAGAGGGCTGGTGGGATTATCCACGTTTTCGTGCGGTTCCCCGAAAAACCCGTCCGTTTCAAGTTCAATGAATGTTGAGGGGACAGCCTCCGTCTCAAAGAAGATACCCTGTGTTCAGCAGCTTCCGTCTCCAAGACAACATGATTCTCCCCCGCCCGCCCGTCCGTCCGTCCAGCGGTGGCTCGCGGTGGCCCGCGGTGTCCAGCGGTGCCCCGTGGTGTCCGCCGCGGCTAGGGCGAAGTCAAGACAAATGATTCTCCCCCGCCCGCCCGTCCGTCCGTCCGGCGGTGTCCCGCGGTGTCCCGTGGTGTCCCGTGGTGTCCCGTTCAGTGAGATCGATTGTGAGATCGACAAGTGTCCCGTGGTTTCCCGTTGAGTGAGATCGATAGTGAGATCGATACTGATATTGATGTGGTGCCCCGAGGTGTCCCGTGGTCTCAAAAAATGAGATCGATAAAGAGATCGACAAGTGTCCCGTGGTGTCCCGTTGAGTGCGATCGATAGTAAAATCGATAGTGAAATCGATAGTGAGATCGATAGTGAGATCAATGTGGTGTCCCGATGTGTCCCGTGGTGTCCTACGGTGTCCTACGGTGTCCTACGGTGTCCTACGGTGTCCCGTTGAATGATCGATAGTGAGATCGATAGTGCGACCGATAGTGAGATCGAGAGGTGTCCCGTGGTGTCCCGTGGTGTCCCGTTGAGTGAGATCGATAGTGAGATGCTCGCGGTGTCTCGTGGTGTCCCGTTGAGTGAGATCGATCGTGAGATCGATAGTGAGATCGATGTGGTGCCCCGAGGCGTCCCGTGGTGTCCCGTTGAGTGAGATCGATAGTGAAATCGATAGTCAGATCGACAAGTGTCCCGTGGTGTCCCGTGGTGTCCCGTTGAGTGAGATCGATAGTGAGACCGTTAGAGAGATCGATACTGAGATCGATGTGGTGCCCCGAGGTGCCCCGTGGTGTCCCAAAAAGTGAGATCGATAGTGAGATCAATGTGGTGTCCCGAGGTGTCCCGTGGTGTCCTATGGTGTCTCGTTGGGTGAGATCGATAGCGAGATCGATAGTGTGACCGATAGTGAGATCGAGAGGTGTCCTGCGGTTTCCCGTGGTGGCCCGTGGTTCCCCGTGGTTTCCCGCTCAGTGAGATCGATAGTGAGATCGATAGTGAGATCGACAAGTGTCCCGTGGTGTCCCGTGGTGTCCCGTTGAGTGAGATCGATAGTGAGATCGATTGAGTCAGATGTTGGTTCCCCCCCCTCTCCCCCCCCCACAAACTCCTTATCACCCGAAGGGTGGTCGTATAGGTACTTACTTTCTTGCAAAGGGAGCTTGTTGAGTACTGGGGGTTGTCTCGGAGACGGAGGCTGTTGAATACAGGGTGGTGGTGCGTGCTACACGGAAGGCGGGCGGGCAGTGGGCGGGCGGGCGGGCGGCGGGTTTGCGGATCGGCATACGAATCGACTCCTTACGGATTCTCTCTTGCAGCGGGAGCCTAGGGAGTCTGTTAAGAGACTTTTTTTAGGGTCCGGCGATCACCCCGGTTGATCGGGCTCGCCCCCCCTTACCTCCCCCCCCAGGATAACCTAACCTAGCCGATTGTGCAGGTCCGGGCGGGCGCAGGGAATTCGCGTGGAGCGTTGTGTTCAACGGTGCGGTGGTGTTCGCCACAGCATGCTGGTGTTTGGATGCGTTTTAGCGAACCGTTGGGGCTTGGTGTGGCACGTGGAGACGACGACGACAGACGACGACAGACGACCACAGACGACGGCAGACGACGACAGACGACCACAGACGACGAGGACGAACGACGACGAACGACGACGACGACGACGACGACGACGACGACGACGAGGACGAGGACGACGACGAAAACGACGACAGACGTCGTCCATAGGCATCTGGAGGTGCACGTGAGCAGCGCGTACGCAGGCATTGCGTTGTGCACAGGCAGGATTTGGTTCGCGCATTTGCTGTTGTTGCAGCAGGATCTGTTGTGTACGCAGGCGTTGTGGTGCACGCAAGCAGAATTGCACGCAGGTCGCGCGGTGCACGCGGGCATCGTGATGCACCAGGACATATTCTGAAGACAGGCTTTGTGGTTCGCAAAACTGTTCCTGTAACACCAGCTATCATTCGCGCAGGCATCCCAGGCATGGTGGTGTACAGAAACACGGTGGTGCGCGATGATTGCGGTGCACCACACCTTGTGGTGTACACGGGCGCTGCGGTGTACACATCCGCTGTTGTGCACACATTCGCTATGGAATACACAGGCGATGTGGGCCCAAAAGACGGGACCGTTTCCTGCGCCGATGTGCGCAAATAGCATACACATTGGATTTGATACGTTCGGATTCCCCGCGATTTTCTGGAGTTCGGTCCCGCCGGGGGCCCTGGTGGTGTACGCAGTTTTGTGGTGTACACAAGCACTTTGGTGCACGAATATGGTACTAGACACACTGCACATAGGCGTCGTCGTGTACACAGGCAGAGTGTGTGGTGTGTACACAGGCGCTCCGTGTAGTGTACACAGGCATTGTGGTGTACACAGGCATTGGTGTGTAGACAGGCGCTGCGGTGTAAACAAGCAGCTGTGGTGTACAAAGGCGTCGTGGCGCACGCTAGACAGGCGTTGTGGTGTACACAAACATGGTCGGGCCAAAAACGGGGGGACCGCACCCCGGCCCAGAAAAATCAGTAATAACAAATAACCTACATATTGAATTTGATTCGTTCGGGCCCTTGGGGATGTTCCAGATTTGGGCCCCGGCGGAACCTTGGAGGTGCATGGAAGCGCTGTGGCGCAAATGTTCGCCATGCGTTGTGGTGCACGTGGCTCTTGTGGTGCGCGCAAGCATCGCAGTGTACACAGGCGCTGTGGTGCACACAGCTTCTGTTGTGTTCACAGGCACTGTTGTCTAGACAGACGCTGCGGTGTACACAAGCAGCTGTGTTGTACAAAGGCGTCGTGGTGTACACTGGACAGGCACCGCGGTGAACACAAACATGGTCGGCCCAAAAGGGAGATGGACCGTACCCCGGGGCAGAAAAAAATATAATTACAAATAACCTACATATTGAATTGGATTCGTTCGGGCCCTCGGGGATGTTCCAGATTTGGGCGCCGGCGGGACCTTGGATGTGCGCGGAAACGCTGTGGCGCAAATGTTCGCCATACGCTGTGGTGCATGTTGCTCGTGTGGTGTGCACAGGCATCGGGGTGTACACAGGCGCTGTGGTGCACGCAGAAGCCTTTGCTGCAGTAGCACCTGTGGTGTGCAAGACCGTTGTGGCGCACGCATGTTTTGTAGTGCTCACAGGCAGTGTGGTGCACGCGGGTTCTATAGATAGTGTACAGAAGACTTCACGGCTACGCTTAGCAATCCCATCCCGCGTATTCCAGTGCGAGTTGTCCACACATCCCTAGGCATTCTCAGACGGCGCCCGCATCGTCGCAACACCAGTATCAGCAGCATCGTTAGCAGCTGTAGGGGCCGCAGCACTGGTGCGCGCGGGCATTTGCAGGGCTGCCCACAGCGCGAAGGCTTGGTTATCGGTCGGCCCCCCCCTCCCCCTCCCCGGATAACCCGGGCTATCGCCGATTCAAATAAAGACGGTCTCTAAAATCCCGACCCGCCCGCCCGCCTTCCGTGTAGCATACACCACCCTGTATTCAACAGCCTCCGTCTCCAAGTCAACACCTTGTAGTCAACAGCCTCTGTCCCCAAGACAACACCCAGTACTCAACAGGCTCCCGCTGCAAGATATAATCTTTAAGGAGTCTGTTAACATCCCGTCCCGCCCGCCCGCCCGCCGCCGCCCACCCGCCCGTCTGCCGTGTGGCATACACCACGCTATATTCAACAGCATCTGTCTCCAAGATAACACCTTGTAGTCAACAGCTTCCGTCTCCAAAGCAACACCCAGTGCTCAACAGGCTCCCGCTGAGCCGTTCTGGCTCAGGCGTTTTGCTTGTGGTTGCAATTGCGAAGCTCCGAAACATGTGTCGTACCAGTGGTATCAGAGGAAGGCACCGTCAAGAGCAGTCTTCTGGAAGTGCGGATGTGGTTGTGCCAAGGACAACCTCAGCTGGTGGTGGTGCTAGCAGTGCAAGGCCGAGTATGCCGGCAAGACGGTGCAGGTTTTGCACCCGTTTTGTTGGCGGCTCTCGTGGTCCTGAAGCTGACGATCTGGATCGTGAGCTGGCACGCTTGCCTCCACTTCCTCCAGGCCAAGTCGGCGGCAGAAGCGGAGGCTGTATGTGGCCAGCGCTTCCTTCGCGGGATGAGATCAGCACGGACGGTCTCGACGCTGACGGGCTGGCGTCTTTCAGAGCCACTGCCGCCAAGCAGGGGCAGACGAAGCTGGCGCAACGATGCGAGAGAGCAAAGAACACGTTGGAGATCACCATGCGACCAAAACCCGACAAGCCCACCAGCTTGCGCACCAGAGCGTTTCAGGCGCAGTCCAAGATGCCAAGATCAAACAGCTGAAGAAAAGGCTGGTGAGAGAGTTGGACAAACTCAACAAGTGGCAGAACGATGTGCTGGACCTGCAGAGTCACATCAAGACCTTGTCGAACGAGCTCGGTGAGCACGAGGGCACGTGCAGGAAGCTGGTCGCCCAGATATAGGACGAAGTTCAGGTCACAGGCGTCGTGGGCCCCAAGGCGATACCGACGGCGATTACTATCAAGGCACCAGTGGACAGAGACGAGAGCCTGGACTTGCAGCTCGACCACGATCTCTTCACCTGCCTCGATGAGTACGAACCCCCACCAGAGGACACGAAACAATTGGACGAGAGGAAGCAGATGCTGCAGACGGGTTTAAAGGACCTGGCCAAGAAGCTTGTCGGCGAG